GGTCGGTGGCCCTCAGGGGGAGGTGACAGTGCTGAGTCACCAGCAAGGCTGGCAGGGCCAAAAGCAGCCAGAAGGGAGGATGCAGAACACAGACAGGGCAGGGGGACTTTAAGGACAGTCTCAGGTGGTGGTGGAGGCTGCAGTGTCCTCTGCAGGACCCAAAGGGACTTTGGGTCATTAATCACCAGATGGAAGGAATTATCTGAGAGTCCAGGCATCTGAGTAACTTCCCTTCAGTAATCTTTTTTTTTTTTTCTTTCTTTTGAGACAGGATCTCACCCAGGCTGGCCTTGAACTTGCAGTGACCCTCCTGCCTCAGCCTCCTGAGTGCTGGTGCCACCATATCTGGCTTCTTCAGAAATCTGTACTCCAGGCCTTTCCAGACCCCTGGCTGGGCTGGGGTTGGGCGAGCAGAGCTCTCAGCCAGGGCTGTATCTGTCTGTGTGACATGCGGCAAATCGCTTCACTTCTTGGAGGCAGCAGAGGCCAATGGCACAGGCGGGAAGAGGGTGGGAAGCACTTGGCACTGCTCTTGGAAGCAGACACTCAGGGCAGGAATGGGGTTTGCTTCTCTTGTCCCCAAGGCTGTCTCTATTCGCTGTGGGGTGACCTCCTGTGAGTGGGGATGTGGGTCCCAGCTCCCCACAGTCCCTGGGGCTGACCCTTCTGCCCCTGCTCCAGGGATTGCTTCAGAGATGGGCAGGTGACAGGTGATGACTGGAGGCCAGTGGGACTGGACTCCAGGGGCAGACAGGACAGCCCAGTGATCTCATCCCACTGGGCTTAGAGCGGGGAGCCCATAAGCTGAGCTTCAGGAAACCCTCTACGGCCTGAGAGTGGGACGGAGCAAAGAAGCCCAGAGGCTGAGGAACCGAGGCGGACACAGTGTCTGTGGACTGGACTCAGCCACATCGGAAGGCTGATACTCAACTCTCCAGCCAAAGGCCACCCAAAGGTCCCCTCAGGCCTCCTATCTGACACCAGATGGGGTTGGTCCTGTTTGAATCTCTCGGGGCTGAAGAAAATGGTGAATGCCGCAGATATGACAGGAGAGAGGCCACAGGTGGGGAATCCCTAAGCAGAGAGTGACAGATCAGGAGGGGCCACGAAGCTCCATGAATCCTTCCAACAACCCTCCCTGTCCCCATTTTCCAGATGAGGAAACTGAGGCACAGAGGCGAAGTGAGCCCTCCAGCTGCCCAGACTCAGAACTAGGATTTGGATCTCAATCTGGGACCAAAAGCTCTTCCCTTTTTGTTCCTGGAGAATAATACTGCTATGGCCATGCATGTGACTGCCGTGCTAGCCTATGTTAGCGTCGGGACAAAGCAGTGCCCGCTGATGCTGATGGGCTGAATGAGTGGCTGGGAAGACGAGTGGCAAGGACAGGTAGGGGTCCTGGCCTTCCTGGAAAGGGCGATTGCCCTGTGAAGGCTTCAGTGGTGAGGGTGACACTGGGGAAGCGAGGGTGCAGGAAGAAGCCATCGTAGAAGCTCAGACACCCACAGGTCTGCAGTGTGGTGCATCCTGGGAATGGCAGGGGGACAGGTGGCTGACACTGAGTGGACAGAGGAACTGGCACAGGGAGGCTCTGGTGAGGCTGACCCCCAGGACAAGCAGGGCCTTGGTGCTCAGGGGCAGAGCCAGGACTTGGTCTGCAGGCAGTGGGGAGGCACAGCAAGGCTTTGAGCAGGAGAGTTCCCATTGCTTGATGTTACAGATGTCCTGAGAAGATCCTGCAGGCTCCACAGAGAAGAGATCCAGGGGCGGGTGTCTGAGTGGCAGGAAGAACAGGAAAGGACACTATTGCTACTGACCTAGCAGGAGGCAATGGCTCCCGGGATGGAACGTGTGGCAGAGGTGAAGACATGGCAGACTCCAGACACGGTTTGGAGATAAAACCATCAGGAGCTGGCAACAGTGGCCACAGCCCAGTCCTGGCTTCCAAATTCCCCTTTCTGTCCTCTGAGTCACTGTCCACTTCCCTACACCTCCTCAGTCCGCAGCCACAAAGACACACAGTGAGGCACAGGAGCCCAAAGGTGGGGATGCCCCAAGGTCCACGCATGGACAGACAGACAGACAGAATACAGTCTGTCTGGACACCAGGGAGCTGCCTAGCCAGGAAGAGGATGATGGTGTGGATGGGCCCTGGGGACACAGGAGTGGGAGAAGCCAGGGACACGGGACCACATATTTGGTTCCACTCACCAGAAATGTCCAGAAAGGACAAATCCAGAGACAGAAAATAGCCTATGGCTCCCCAAGGGGCTGCAGACAAGGGGGGCCTGTAAGGGACTGCTCATGGCTACAGGGTCTCCTTTTGAGGTGATAAAAATGTCTTGGTACTACATGAGGCATGATGCTGTGCGCCTGTAATCTGAGGACTGGGGAGGCTGAGGCAGGAGGATTGCTATGAGTTCCAGGCCAGGCTCAGCTACACAGGGTTTGCCTGAACGACACAGTAAGGCCCTGCCTCAGCCCCCTCAACCATTGCTCCCAAGTTTGGGACCTAGATAGAGGTGATATTTATTTATTTTTTATTACAGTACTAGGCATTAAACCCAGGGCTCCCACTGACCTACATCCCTAGCTCTTTTTATTTTTATTTTTTTAACACAGGGCCTCAGAAACTGGGAGTGGTGGCGTATGCCTGTAATCCCAGCACTCGGGAGGCTGAGGCAGAAGGATCGCTGTGAGTTCGAGACCAACCTGGGCTACATAGTGAGTTCCATGTCAGTCTCAACTACATAGTAAGACCCTGTCTCAAAAAACCAAAAAAACAAAAACAAAAACAAAAACAAAAACAAAAACAAAAAACACCCCCCAAAAAAGACAGGGTCTCAGTATGCAGCTGAAGCTGGCCTCAAACTTGTGATCCTCCTGCTTCAGCCTCCTGAGCAGCCAAGATTATAAGTGTATGCCTGTGAGTTGGTAGATGATTGTGGATGTACTGAATGTCACTGAGCTGCCTGTTTTAACTTGCTAAGTTTTGCTATGTACATTTTCACATCAGTTTTAATAAATGAATAGTAAGGACCCGACCCCTCCCAAAGGTGCCACATTTGTGCTGATTTCTGCCTGGGCTCTCTGGCAGGGTAGCTCCGAGAACCCAGACTCACAGACCAGGGGGATTCTTCTCCACTGCAAGGCCCATGTGTCCTTGTGCACTTGGCAGCATCTTGATCCGGGGGCCTTGCCTTCCCTGCCCTGGAAAGCCCGTGACAGCAAGTACAGCGGGATCCAGGGGCTTTTTTACCTTTTCTCTGGCTGGCTGTGCTCTCCACTAGCTCTGTCCAGACCGAGGCAGAGTGAGTACCATTGGCTTGGCCAAGGTCACATGTCTACCCTGGACCAATCATCATGGCCAGGGGGCAGGGATCGCTCTGAATGGTCTTGCAGGTTCTTCTTGTGAAACTATGAACCTCCAGGGGACACATTAAAGCGCACATGTTGGCACACTCTGGGAGGCTGAGGCAGGAAGATCATGAAGTTTGAGCACAGAGATCCTGTCTCAAAATAAAAAAGGAAAGCGATGGGAATGTAGCTCAGTTCAAAGGCTCTGACTTCAATTCCCACATCACAACAATAAAACCAGACTGTCTGGTCTCCCTGAGCAGAGTGAAACCCAGGGAAGGGATTTCCCCCAAGATTAAACAGCCCAGAGTTCCTGGCTCATTTCCTCCTGCCTGAGGGTGAGGCTCCAGGCCCTGCTCTTGCACAGGCCTGGGGCTTCTTGCTGTCTGCAGAGTGGAGGTGTGTAAGAGGCCTTGGGGCAGAGCAGAAGGTGTGAGAATTTCAGTAGGGACTTCCCCTGCTATGAAATCCACACCTAAAGTCAGGCAGAGTGGAACAGTCCTGTAATCCCAACACTCTAGGAGGCTGAGGCAGGAGGATCACAAGTTCGAGCTCAACCTGGGCAATTTAGCAAGAGTGTGCCCCCAAATAAATAAATACAATTTAAAAAAATCAACCCTGCCTGAAACAATTCCTACTTACTGATAGGATCTGCTGATGTCCTCTTTATATACCGTGCTTGTCTTTGTTTCACAGGAGACCATTCTCAGAAAGGAAGGCTCAGAAGTGAAAGACCTCTCTAAGGTGCATTTCAGTAGCCTAGTGGATTCGAGCTCTGCTCACTTTTGGGGGGGGTACCGAAGATCGAACTCAGGACCTTGCATTCGCGAGGCAGGCGGCAGCACCACTGAGCTAAATCCCCAGCCCTCAAACTCTGCTGACTTCTAATCTCTCTCTCCTTAGGGGTACAGGGTTGGACTGCCAGGCACCTTGAACATTTAGCGCGCTCTTGTACGTCTGTCCTGTAGTCAGCTTTATTTCTACAAATCACACATTTCCGGGAACTAGGGTTCTTTTCCAAATGGAGCTGGCCATTGTTAAATTGGCTAAATCTGGCAACCCTGGCCAGGGCCAAGTTCCGACTCTAAGCCTAGGACTTTAGCGTGCGGCCTCCCCTAGGGCCCCAGCGCTTTTTCCAGGTCAATCGGCAGCCTGGAGTTACCCCGCACTGAGTTGTCCAGGCTCAAATCCTCACGCTTTCTGGAACAGGTCTTTGGGATTCCTGAACCAGTCGCGTCCTCTTTAAGAGTGGTTCCAGGATCTGGGTCACAAG